CAACTATCAAATAGTGAAGAAATCAAGAACAGATGGAGAGAATACACTGAAGAATTATACAAAAAAGACACCAATGANAATAGCTATGATAATTTTTTAATAGCACTACACTTTAAGTAACTACTGTAGTCACATGAAGTTACGCATTAAAAGAAAAGTCACTACAAACACACTGGCTACGTAATCATTAAGTTGTTATATATTATTCCATTAAAATGCTAAGTCATATATATAAGGCCAATGTGGGGAAAAAAGCATACAACTATTATGAAAAAACTTTTTAAAAATTTTCCTCAAAAAATGTCAGATGAAAATATTCACCCAATGTTAGTAAAATAATCATAACATAAGACTACATTTCTCTCATGAAATCGGAACGTGCAACCTCTGCGTGGTATGAGAGATAAACTTGGTGATATCACTAAGGCCAATGCGCGTACGTAGAAGCTATCGGGCAGCAGCGATAGTGGATCGCTACGAGGCCACTCGGACTGCGCTGAAGAAGGAAATGGTAAACCACTTCAGTATTCTTACCAAGAACATTCAATGAATAGACAATCAACGAAGTTTCAAGTTATGGTGCTGGAAGATGAGACCCCCAGGTCAGAAGGCACCGAAAAAGTGACTGGGGAAGGACGGAGATCAAGTACAAGTAGTACCGTAAAATATGATGCGATAGAATCAAAGCCGAAAGGAAGTTCAATCGCTGAGAAGTACAGTTACGAACGGAACGATCAAAGTTTTATGAAACCATACAAAATTGGCACATGGAACGTAAGAAGTATGAACCAAGGTAAACTCGAAATAGTTAAATCGGAAATGGACCGAATAAAAATCAACATTCTTGGAATAAGTGAACTCAAATGGACTGGCAGCGGTCACTTTACATCTGGAAATCACGAAGTCTATTTTTCTGGAAATGCAGATATCAGAAGAAATGGAGTAGCAATGATCATAAACAAGCGGTTCAGTAAATCAATAATAAGCTACAACCCAAAGAATGACAGAATGATTTCCATTCGAATGCAAGGAAAACCGACAAATCTAACAATAGTACAAGTCTACGCACCAACCACAGAAGCAGAAGAATCAATAATCGAACAATTCTACATGGACCTACAACAGCTAATGGACGACATACCCAAGAAAGATGCCATTCTTATCATCGGAGATTGGAATGCAAAAGTTGGCGAAGGTGAAGTACCTGGAATAGTTGGAAAGTTTGGTCTAGGTAAGCGCAATGAGGCAGGGGAAAGATTGATTGATTTTTGCCAAGAAAACCTGATGGTCATCACAAACACGTGTTTTCAACAACCCAAACGAAGACTATACACGTGGACAACACCGAACGGACTACATCGAAATCAAATTGATTATATCCTCTGCAACAAACGATGGAGAAGTTCGATAACATCAATCAAAACTCGGCCAGGAGCAGACTGTGGCTCTGATCACGAACTCTTGCTGGCAGAATTTAGAATTAAACTAAAACAAAACCACAAACCAACACAAACGACAAAGCCAGATTTACAAAACATACCGAGTGCTTACGCTGTCAGCGTAAAAAATAGGTTCGAGGTCCTCAATCTGATAGATAGGGAACCAGAAGAACTTTGGCAAGAAATACGTGAAATTATCAACGACGAAACCGAAAGAAATATCCCAACTGTCACAAAACGAAAGAAAGCCAATTGGATTTCAGAGAACACTCTGAAAATTGCAAAAGAAAGACGAGAAGCAAAAGCCAATGGGAACAGACAATCCTTCGCAAAACTAAATGCTGATTTCCAACGTGAAGCAAGGAAAGACAAGGTAAGACAAATAAATCAGGAGTGCGAGAGAGTTGAGGAATACAACAAAAAAGGTATGACTAGAGATCTATTCAAGAAGATAAGAGAACTTCGGGGACAATTCACAGCTAAAAATGGTACTCTCATGGATCGGAAAGGAAAACAACTATTCAATGGAGAAGAAATCAAGCACCGATGGGAAGAATACACCGAAGAAATATACAGAAAAGACGGCAACATTGATGAAAAAACAATATTCAACGAATTCGAATTGGAACCAGAAATTTTAGAAGACGAAGTAGAATGGGCAATTAAGGCACTGGCAAATGGCAAAGCTTCAGGACATGATGGGATCCCAATAGAATGTTTTAAATCATTGAAAGAAAACGGTATCAAAGTATTAACAACACTATGTAGACAAATTTGGAAAACACAGCGTTGGCCCTTAGACTGGAAAAAATCTATTTTCATTCCCATACCGAAGAGTGGGAATGTCAAAGAATGCTCTAACTATCGCACAATTGCTCTCATCTCACATGCGAGCAAGATAATGCTGAAGATTATACAACGGCGATTGCAGCCGTTTCTCGAACGAGAAATGCCAGACACACAAGCCGGTTTCCGCAAAGGAAGAGGAACACGTGATCAAATTGCGAATCTACGATGGATTATGGAAAAAGCTCGTGAGTATCAAAAAGAATTTTATTTATGTTTTATAGATTATAGCAAAGCATTCGATTGCGTCGATCACGACAAACTCTGGAAAGTACTCAAAGAGATGGGGGTACCAACCCATCTGATCGTCTTACTGAAGAACTTATACACCAATCAACAAGCATCGGTAAAAACAGAATATGGAAACACCAACTGGTTTAATATTGGTAAAGGTGTGAGACAAGGATGTATCCTATCACCGTACCTATTCAATTTATATGCGGAATATATCATGAGAAAGGCAGATATTGACGAAGCAGTAGCCGGAATAAAGATCGGCGGACGAAACATCAATAATCTACGGTATGCGGACGATACCACACTACTGACCGAATCGGCCGACGACCTACGATGTCTTCTAAAGAAGGTAAAAATGGAAAGTGAAGCCGCAGGTTTAAAACTAAATACGAAAAAGACACTGGTGATGACAAACAGATCTATGGAGGAATTTTACATTGACGACGATCGAGTGGAGATTGCAAACAATGTCATTTTCCTTGGCTCAAGTGTTAACACCGATGGCGATTGCAGTACCGAAATAAGAAGAAGACTCCTTATGGGTAGGAAAGCTATGCTCAGTCTAGACAAACTGATCAGAAGTAAGGATATCAACTTAGACACAAAGATTAGAATTATTAAAACAATGGTTTTTCCAATAACAACATATGGCTGCGAAAGCTGGACGATGAAACAATCCGACCGTAAGAAAGTCGATTCCTTCGAACTGTGGTGCTGGAGAAGATTACTTCGAGTTCCATGGACGGCCAAAAGAACGAACCAATCCATCTTACAAGAGATCAAACCAGATTGTTCACTGGAAGGCTCAATGGTCAAATTGAAGTTATCATACTTCGGACACATAATACGAAGAAACGAATCGATGGAAAAAGAAATAATGCTTGGCGTAATCGATGGCAAACGCCGCAGAGGAAGGCAAAGAAAAAGATGGATAGATACAATAAAGGAAGATACCAATCTCACAATAAGAGAATTAACCAACATGGCACACAACAGAAACAAGTGGAGAAGTCTAATTTATTGGATCACCAAGAGTCGACCTCGACTGAATGGCTAACACACACACAGAAGCAAACAATAAGCATGAATTGAAAGTAAAGTGTATACATCTATTATATTTCAGTTTCAGTGTAAAACATGAGTGTAGACATGAATCTGGTAATGTTAGAGTTCGTCTAGGTAGGTGTTTGTCAGGATTTTCTTCAAGTCTGATACAATACCCAAACTAACACTCACAGATATCCACACTGACAATTGCACATATACGTAGCCAAGTCTACACCCATACCCCAATTTGCCGAGCGGCCACTTCACACGCCAGTTTTTTTCTTCCTTTGTTTATTTATATGAATTAAGATAAAATGCAGTGTTCTTTCATTTTCAATGAGGTACGGCAAAAGTGCTAAATGTACATCAGCGACATCTTTCACTCGCCAGTTCTTGTCTTTTCTTTATTGCAGAAAAGATACTTCTGTTTTTCAAAACAATTCGTTTTCATTTGTCACTTTCAACGCACGCTAAAGGACAAGCATCGTCAATTTTTCTTGAAAAGTATTGATCAACTTCAAAATAATATTGACACGGTAAGTTTCGACTTTGTTCACTGTGTATTGTAGCGTTCATCTTTTATTTAGCAATTTTTCGACGCACCTGGACAGTGAACTCCAGCAAGACAACGAAACCGAAAGAGTTTAATCAGTAAGTTTACATTATTATGTCCGACAGGAAAGTCGTTTGGTAGGAGAAGAAAAACTTGCAGTATGGCTGGATCTTTTTGCTAGAAAATAATAAGACTACTTGCGCACAGCTTAACTGCTAGTTTTGTTTTCGAGAATGTCACAGGCAAAGGTCTTTAAAGTCTATCTAGCCGAGTAAACTAGAAATTCATTTGGCATTTCTTTCTCGAAAATGATATTGATAATTTGAGGCTGTAGTATTGTGCAAAACATTCGAAAAGATTAACCGATGAATATGGACTCGTTGCAGTATCTATTAGTGACGAGTTTTCTTAGATGCTTCATTACGATCTTAGTTTAAGGGTGGATGTGTGGCTGTGGGTATGGGTGTGGGTGTGGATGTGGTTGTAGTTTCGGATGTGCAGGCATCTTTTTGTACTTTCAACCCACAGTTACACTCTTAAACCTTTATAATCTGCTCATTTTGACAAGTTGGATGTCTTTTTAATTTTTTTTCAAAAGATTTTACATTATCAGTTCTACGAGAAATTTTTCTCTGCGTATTGCGTAATGAATTATAGAGTGTTTCTGACAGAATTATAACTGTTTTCAGAAGTGTTTCATGAAATTGATAGTTCATTGCTAGCAACTAAATGAATATGCTTTGCTTCGTATTTCTGCGAATTTTTAGTAGTTTTGAAGAATATTAGACGCAGACACTTGGCGAATTCGAATCAGAACCTATCATCGTCTGAATTGAAAAATTCATCTTTCTTATCGGTTCCATAGTATTGTGATAAACATGTCAGCCGCATCAAACAGTAGCTTAGCTGCAGCAGCTTTTTCCTCAATTTTTGGCCTAACGTCATCGACTACTTCCGAGGCATCAACGCTTCTAAACCCACTCAAACTTTTCCCAACTGTTATTTCAAACGCTGGTGGATCTGCAGCATATCAATGCACAGAAATCCTTGTGAAACAAGGTTGCAATCGCGAATTTCCTCTAGAAGTTCAGGCAAGAATGACAATTAGCCAGTTGAAAACAAAAATTGCTCAGCAAATTGGCAGCTGTCACGAGATCATTTATGATCATCGTACTCTCGAGGATAATCGCACATTGTTCGATTACGAAATTCGTACAAATAGCATCGTGCGAATACGGAAAAGTCCAGGTGACATTTCCATTTCCGTAAAAATGGAAAATGGCAAAACAATTGAGATAGATACCAATTTATCAGACAAAGTTGAAGATTTAAAAGCAAAAGTTCAAGATCAAGAAGGAATTCCATCTGATCAGCAACGTCTGGCTTTTGAATACAAACAACTTATGGATGTTCAAAGCCTATCACATTACAAAATTAGAGACAAGTCAACGATACATCTTGTACGGCCTCTTTTTGGAGAAATGATAATTTTTGTCAAAACCCCAACTGGCAAAACAATACCACTCATGGTCGAACAAAGCTACACCATTGAAACTGTGAGAATAATGATTCAAGATAAAGAAGGCATACCACCTGATCAGCAACGCCTGATTTATGATGGCAAACAACTTAAAGATGGTGAAACGTTATCTGACTATAATATTCAAAGCAAATCGGCATTGCATTTAGTATTGAGATTGAGAGGAGGCGGCGACCCCAATGTCAGCATCGAACTCGGTAGTGGGAAGACGGTAGTATTCAATTGTAATGATGGTAGAACTGTTGGAGATATCAAAGCGAAAATTCAACACCTATTAGGGATTCCGCTTGAGCAACAACGACTACACTTTCGGGGCACAGAACTTGAAGATAGACAGGTCCTAATGAGGCTCGAAGGTCTATGGGGACGGTGGCCGACTTTTTACTTACCAATATGGATTTTTGTGAAAACTCAAAACGGAAAAACAGTGACATTGAAAGTAGAACAAACAAAAACTATTAGAAGTACACAACATAGCGGTGAGGACGAGATTATTCGGGTCATTGACCGTCATTCAATTGATGAAATCAAAGCACTTATTGAAGAAAAACTGAATATTCCACCATGCCGACAGCTACTGTTTACGAATGGCACATTTCAAACAAATGATGAAAAACTCTTTTTGAATATGATAAAGGACCTTGCAGTGTTCGTTGTCGATACAGCGAGTAATTATGCCCTCGTCGCCCTGGAATTTCCAAATAAAAAGCCTAAACCTTATTTTTTCGATAAGCCGGTATCTACTTCGAACTTGAGCAAGAAAATTGAAGAAGCTACTGGTTATTCTATCCAAGCACAAAATCTGCAAGTATCTGCTGGTGACAAGAAAAATACCATTATTGACAATGGATGTGTCATAACAGTCAGCATTGATAGTCCATATTTGTTTTTGAATTTACCAGCCACATTTCCTCAAATAGCAACAAGTCAGTTTTTGCCATCAAATACTGTTGAGCAGGTGATCGGCGATATTGCAGTTCAATCAAATATTCTTCCTTATCGACTCAGTCTATTTGATCCACTCACTCACAAAAAACTTATTAATAAAAAAGCAACCTGTGCCTCATATGAGCTAGAAGCTGGCCGAATCGTTGATGTACATGTTGCGGAGCCTACTCATCAGCAAATATTGATTATTATGTCTACTGGTAAAGCATTTGATCTAGATGTGATTCTGGATAACTCTATCTATGATTTGAAAAAAATAATTGAAAATCGAGAAGCTATTGAAACTCAATATCAAATTATTCTTAAAGATGACCAACAGCTTGCTGATAATGTACATCTGGGAGACTGTCTTACCGACTCCTGTGCTTCTTTGTTTGTGAATATTGTACTAAGTGGCCCGCTGGCCCTTGACCCTTCATTATTAGCACCTCATCTCGACTTTGACTTCACTGACATTGATGATACAGAAAAAATGTTCACTAGAGGAAATCATGTATATGAAAGACCATCTGGCTGCAAGCGAATTGCGCTCAATGTAGCAGGAAATTATGGATACGACGATAGATGGCTTGGAATGCCAGTAACCGACGAAGAATGGCCTGTATCATACCACGGAACTGGAAAGCACAATGCCATGAGCATCACAGAAGAAGGCTATAAGATTAGCAAAAGTCAAAATTTCAAATTCGGTAAAGGTATTTATTCCACGCCTGAAGTCGAAGTGGCAAAATTATATGCAAAAGAATTCGAACATGACGGACAAAAATACTTTGTTATGTTCCAAAACCGAGTCAATCCACGATATTTGAAAGTGATTTACAAAGAAGAAAATGATATTGGAACTTACTGGATAAGCAGCAAAGGCCCAAATGACACTGACAATGATATATGCGATCTTATTCGACCTTATGCTTTGTGCATTTTCAAAGCGTGACAAGTATTGGCTTTTTAAAATGAAACTTTGTGTAGCAGATTTAAACATGAGTCTGCAACTCTCTAAACCATGTACATTTTCTATATGGATTAATAGCAAGGTGTGTGGGTGCGTGTGGGTATATGTTGGGTTGGATTGGATGTTGATGTATGTGTGCGTCTGTTGGGTGTGGGTGTGGGTGTGGGTATGGGTGTGGGTGTGGGTATGGGTGTGGGTGTGCGTGTGAGTGTAGATGTGGGTGTGGGTGTGGGTGTGGATCTTCTTTTCATCTACGCACCTACACTCCACACCACGCTTATAGCCATTCTCACGATACAAACATTTACACCCACATCCAAACTTTGTTTATCACACATCTTCAACATATATCGACTTTTATGCTTCATGTTTAGTTAGTTGACGTGAGTGGAAATCTTAGAAAGAATGCAGCATCAAGACTCACACCTCATGATGATTCCGATTTCCATAGGGTTTAGAATCTTGTAAAACTAAAAATGATCATTTTTCCCTATTATAATCGAAATGTAATATGGACAAAATCAAATCTTTTTTTCTCAATGATTTATCTGATATTTTTTTTAATGATCATCGTCATTATTGTTGATTAATCCTATGATTGAACTACGGTAATTTATTTCTTCCTATCTCGTTCAATAATGAATAACGACGAACTTTTTTGATGAAAAAATGTGGATGAAACTGACGCTTTTGATTCTTCGAGTTTTTTTGCTCATTTTTTCTTGGTGATTACTTTTTCAAGACATCAAGCACGTCATAGGAGATGAACAAATAAAAAGCTTGTTAGCTCCTTAAAATGATGTCTCTCAGGACTAATTCTTTTTATCTACTCTAGTCATTCTTGGTAAATTTTTGTCCATCATTTATAGGAAAAGTATTTTGCCGCTGGAAGTAAAGTGTTTGTAGAGTGATCGAGTAGAATGAATAACTTTAGACGGATGAAGATTGACCAATCGTCCTAGTCATTCGATTGAAAGTAACTGATCAAAGCACTGCAGTGCTGCTGAAGGTTTAAATTCGTCCATAGGGAATAGTTGTTTTTTTGAGGACTGGACCATTTCCCCCTCTCAATGAGAAACTGTTCCACTTCAAGCAGAAATGCTTAAACCGCATAAAGTCAGAAGGAAACGCTTTTTTTCCACAAAAATAGTCTCATCTTAAGGGATGTTTCTACCAGAAATAGATTTTTTCTATTAGAAATAGTTAATTCTTGAGGAGAAATGCTTCATCTATATCCCCATTCATAAGTAGAAGTCGAAAAGAGATAGAGAGAAATGGAGGATTTTATTTTTTCATCTTAAGGGATGTTTGTACCAGAAATGGATTTTTTCTATGAGAAATGATTAATTTTTGGGGAGAAATCCTTCATAGATGTCCCCATTCATAAGCAGAAGCTGAAAGCAGATAGAAAGAAAGAGTTTTTTAGCATATTAACGGATGCCTTAAGTAGATGTGGTTGTTTCCTATTAGAAATGCTAATTTTTGAAGAAGAGTTGCTTCAATATGAGATTGTGTAAGTTGCGTGTTGGTAGAAATTGTGAAGGACGATGAACATATGTGTAAGGACATGTTGCATCGACGTGATTTATAATATCCGACACGATGGCATATGCATGAAGTTGGTAGTGTTATGTAAAATGCCGAATATAATATGCTGAATTTTGAGAAATGCACATTACTGTTTTTAGTTGTAGCATGCAGCTCACTTTGAGATCGCTGCGAAGTCGTTCGTTGAATTCATAGGGTGCACTAAAGTATTCGATCTGGAAAACAGAATGTCCTCACAATATTTAAAAATAATTATGCAGAGAATGTTCGACTAATTGGAAATTCAATCATATTGTTTCTGTTTGAGTTGAAAATGACTACGGGAAAGTTGCATGTTAAGTTAGACAGAGTAAATGAACAGTGGTAATTATTCGTTATCATTCGAAGGTAGATGCGATAAATAATGTCCTTCTCGATTATCCAACTAAAAATTAACAACTAAACAAAATTTATTTACTTGAATTTAAATATGGAACTAGTACTAGAAAATAGTGCTACCATGATACTTCTTCCAGGAGATCGATTACTTTGTGGACAAAGGTATACGGTCTAAGCATTTCGCTTTTGAAGAAGAATCATTTCCCGGTGAAAGAAAAACCATTTCTCTCTATATTCAAGCATATGTGCAATATCTTATAAGAGGTTATATGTATATATATATATTATTCTTTCTTTCCATTTCTCCTTGGTATGTGTGACTTTATGTGGGGTGAAGCATTTCCCTATAAAGTGGAATAACTTCCCCCATGGACTGGTCCAATGGTCCACTGCTGCTCTAAATGGAATACTGTTAGTATGACGGTATGTTCAGTGAGATCGGTGTGATGAGTACAATCAGTGTCAGTGTTCTCGGTATTCATTATACTGACACTGGTCCATCCCTAGCTTAGAAATCAAAATTTTTTCGGTGTGCGGTTTGAGCAGTGGTTTCGCGGACTATTTCTTAAAGATTATGTTAACTGAGACGAAACTATCAAGAATATTTTTATTTGTCAAAGTTTATTTCAATTTCTTAAAAACAAAGTTAATTATATGCGAAAAAAATGTTTTATCAAATAGAAATATTTAGTATTCCACTTCAAATAAAAAAAAACAAGATTTAACATGTATTGAATGCCTGTCCACATGATGAACAAAATTTGCCTGTTAGGTCTTGTCTTGATGCACCACATTGAGAACAAAGTTCTGCAGCAGACTGATCAGAATATGGTGGAGGTGCAGCACTATTGTGCCGTTCAATAACTGATGTTGGATCAGGAGCATTTGGATTGGAATAATATATTACACTTCCTGGAGTAGTAGAGCGACCAATATCGATAACTAACTGAAAGACATAGTAGAAATTCATTGATAAAAAATTGTTCTAAAGTTTATCTTGATAGTTCTTTTAAAATTATGTATTTCATCAAAAAAATATTTCTTAGCTAATTTTTAATTGTAACGAATATTCTTCGAAACAAATTAAGATGTTTATAAAACAATAGCACTTACATGATAAGCTAGATGATTGTTGCGATAAATTCCATATCTTCCAACGAAATGTGTCATGGTATCTAATCTCCAACTACATGGTATTGGTGATCTCGATGAATATATGATTGATTCTTTAGCAATTGCATGTCGCATTCGTCTAATATGTTGAAGTTTTATTATATAACATCCGATACCGAAAAGAATCGATCCAGAAATGATCAAAATAATGCCAATTTTAAGATATTCATATGACAAATAATGAAGTACTATTATTCCACCCATTATGCACAAACCGAAAGCAATTGAAAAAAAGATTAAAATTTTGTTTGATGAAATTGTACGATTAATTCTAGTAATTGATTCATGAAAGTCTTCTTGACTAATTATTCCATTTAAATGAATTGGATATGTTGAATCAAATTTCGATTTACAACACCCAACTACAATATCAAGAATAAACATCATATTAACTAAAAAAAGACAATAACTTACTATTGATTATTGGTATATGAACTGAATTTGGATTTAACGGAACTGCAATCATATTTTTTCTGTCTAAATCAAATTAAAATAAAGAAATTGCATTAGCCAGAGGAATTTAAAAAATCAAAGAATGCACAAAATATAATTAAAACAAAAAGTTCGATAGAATTTATACAATAGACAAAAGTGAACGAAAAACATCAGTTTATTCTATTTTCTTTTATGCTCGATGGGAAAACATGTTATTTGACATATTCATCCTGACGTCATGTAATAAAAAATAAGCAGAACAACAAGAAATAGAATATGTGTTGTATGAAGCGATATTTTTTCTTTCTCTTTGCGATAGCGACACATAAGATGAATGAATATATATGGCATAATCTGTTAATTGTTTTTGTATCAATAACGATGGAGGAAACTCCCCTGTCTCTGACTCATGAAGTAACGCTGATTCGCTTTTATCGCTGTGTTGTTACACGATGCTATCGATGAGAAAGAAAATCCATTTTCTTGTGCCCATAAGAAAAAGAACTCCGTCTTACATGGATAACATGCTATAAGAATAGAATGATAAAAATAAATCACAGTGACTCAGCGAATGAGTGCGTCACTGGTATTTTTTCATCTCTGATGGTCATCAGAAGTGAACCATACTTGAGTCTATACGCATTGACTCATTGATGTTAGCTATAATATGTCAAATATTCTCGATAAATGTCCTCTTATGATCGAATTGTGTTCATAAAGTTCAATCATTATTTTCTTTTCTTCTCTTGTCATCTTCATAATTAGCTAAAAATCAAATGTTATTGATTATGTGTGGTAACGTTTCCAATAGCGTAAATGTACGATAGTTAAGTTAAAAAAATATCTGGATACTCCTACAAAAAATATTCCTAATGTATCGTTTTAATCGCTTGACTAGTAGTTAATTTACTTTTTGAGAAACAAATAACTCATGTAGAGATGGTTATTGTATGTTGATCAGTCTCTTGAGGGTGTGAGTGTGGGTGTGGTTGTGGATGTTCAAGAAAAATTATATCTACAGTCACACCCACTCACACACTCACATCCAATTCTGCTCTATCTATGATTAAAACGGCAGGTCTCTATCACGTTCCTAGGCAAAATTATTCGAAAAACAGTCACGGCTCTTATATTTTGAAACGGATATTAGTTAAAAGTAATTTTTCCCTTCAATATGTTTTTTCATATAGTTCTAGTTTGAAGAGTGACAAAAGATTATTGAATGAATATTCATTTTGATTTTGAATGATTCATAAAAAGAAATAACATTCTTTCATTTAAATGAAGCAAGTCTTCTTTTATTTTTAGATAAGGTTGTTTTAAGATAGACATTAAATATCAATCAAATTTCTTTCTCAATTAAGATTTTTATCTCTGTTACATATAAAATATATTTGAATTAAGATTTAAGAAATGATACAACTAGTTTGACGACGTCGATCCTAATTATTTTTAACTTATATAAGTTTAATGTTCACAAAAGATTACTACATTCAGTTGATGAAAATATTTCAACATCTATCTTAAGCTTTACGATTAAGTGTCTTGATTTTGAAAATAGACTGAGACGTTGATACAGTCGAGTAATATGTAGGATTATCTTGATGTTTTATTTTTATATCAATTATCAATATTATTATTGCATAACAACATAGGAAAGAATTCTCTGCAATGTCGAGTAATCATGAATTTTTTTAATACAAAAATAAGTTAAAAGTAAAGAAGACATTTTAACGTTTAATTATGAATAAGTTGAAGATCGATGTCATCACTATCATCTCTAAGAATCTTATTTAATGACCTAACAATAAACAAAGATATTGTATGTTTTTAAAACAATCTTTTAAATAAAAAAAGTTCAGCTATAGCTTATATCAGGAAATGTCGTTGTTGTCGTTTTATAGCTAGAATAATCTTTTTTTTTTAGAACCTCTTGAATGTTTTATTGCTGATATATAATTATTCTTGCCTGTTCAGTATGTTTTTAACGTGCAAATGCACCCAAATACAACTCATAATAAGCATGAAAGAATTTTTGAGTGGATGTATACAAATCTTCATCAGGCTACTTTTATCTGTCATGTTCAATGAAAGTATCACAAAGAAAATTAATTTGAAGAAGACAAAATATTATTTTCATTCAAGTGAGAAAAAAAACATCGAGAAAATCTGAAGAACGTGTCATTATGAAAACAATGCTCATAAGAAATGTATGGAATCAGTTACAAATAACAGTAAGATAGAAAAAAACAAACTGAAAAGTCTTCTCTTCAATTGGCTCGAACAAGATGAGATTTTAATAAATCACAAAGATTTGTTAACAGTCTTCGTTTTTCATACCTAAATATCTATAAAAAGTTGGATATTAGAGTTCGTAATACAAATGAATTACAAAATAATTCACAATTTCTGTTATCTACATTCCTTATATACATACATATGGATACATGTGTACGTAGACGTCTATACTTATATTGACATACACATGCATATGTTTTAGACCATTATATATGTTCCATTCTAAAGAGAGAACAAGACATTCTAGGGTCTGCCACACTCTCGCGGCAACCACATCAAGAGAAATATATTGCTAGTCGTTTCGCGGTACCCATACCGAGACCCTGCTAAACAATAATAAACTTATTATAATTATATACATACGTTTCTGCAAATAAATAGACATACAGTGGATCCAAAAATTATTGCTCCGCACCTATATCATCATTGTATTTTTTCTATTACATGCGAACTATATGAGTGACAGACCAAATATCAATATCATAGTGTTCCCTATTGCCTCCAGCATATATGTTATAAACNAGTATCACTATCATTTCAAATAGCTATTACAACTAATTTTATACCAGTTTAAAGCGCGCTAAATGGAGTTTCATTTGGTATAAAATTAGTTGTGTTAGCTATTTGAAATAATAGTGTTACTCCCTGGAATGATATTTTTACCAATCCTGTGTAGCGTGGCCCACCGGTGGGCCACATCGCCTCGAATGTGTTAAAGAATAGCACAAAATTCTGGTCCTTACTCATAGCTTTTGACTCGTTGGAAATATTTTCTATCAAGTCAATAGTGATCAAACATTTTGTCGAAAAAATTATCTATCACTCATTACTCTTCACTCATACATAGGCCCGCATCCGCAAAGTTCCACCCAGAGCCACAACCCATCTATCAACATTTTTACTTTCAACGAAAGTTCAGATTACTCAATTTATAACAATCTTTTTATTTTAGGTTTCGTTGTTTATCTTGTTTAAATGATTCATCACTTTATATATCATATTGTGTTTTTGGTATTTGTATTGAATTATGGAAATATCCAAATAACAATAATAATAATAATAATAATAATAATAATAATATGAATGCTGCTTTGAAACGTTGGGATCGTTTAGCTAACGATAAAACTGAATGGGTATCACATATGGATGCAAATATAGCATCTAATTTAGGTTTACTTATTCGTACAGCATCATCAGTTCATACACGTTTTGAATTACGTGATGAACATTTAGTTTTATTAAAACAAATTCCATTAAATGATGATTTTGTTGATTTATTTTATCCATTTCGATCTAATCAATGGTTTATTAAAAGTTCATCAGGCAAATATTATATTTATTCAATGGAAACAAATACATATGATTTATCATCATTTGAATTTCCTTTTGGATTACAAGAATTTGGTTTAAATTCAATGGTTATTGGTAGTGGTCAGAATGAATTAACATTGTGTGATGCTTGAAAACAAATATATTTTATACATATATATAAATAAACATCTTGTTTTGTTTTGTTTTTATTTATAAAATAGACAAGAGTAATACTATAAATTTATATTTATATATAAATGTATTATCAACAAATTGGATTATTGAACGAATAGTTTACATGTAAATTTATCTGGAAAAACATTTTCGTGTCACTTCTTTATGTATCATCTTGTTTATTGTATAAGATCATCAGTTACACTATACCAATGAATCAAACGCTTTGTCATTTTATAATCAATTTTGTTATTACATCAGAAGATCTAAGCGAAATCTGATGATTGAGCTAATTTGTTCATATGAAATTATTCAATACTCAAATGATTAAAGAAAGAATTTGCTTTGTCTATAAATCCTATTAAATGAACTGTGTCAAAATTTTTGCATATTTATTTGCTGATATCAGATGAAGTGTCTCGAAAAGTTGCTCATATGGACACTAGTGTATTAGATCGCAGCCCGATAGACAACTGATTGTTTACCTCATAAGTGGAATTGAAACAGAACAAAAAATACTCGTTTCGTTCCTTCCTTACTTTAATACTTTATTATGATTTCAAAAGTCAAAATAAAAATTAACTGGACGATTAGTTACAACCAAATTCACGAAAGAATTTCTTCTACTGTCCAATCGCTTTTGAGTCGAGACTATGTTAGAGAGTGAATAGAAGAATCCAGGATTTCTAGTAAGCTTCTGAGAGCCTATAAAGAGTAGCTATCTGTGTCACCACATATTCCCATGTTAGTATTTTGTTTTCTTTCTTTCATTCATTCGTTCATAACCATCAATATATGTACAAATCGTTTGCTTATTAATTATGTTTTGTTGGATTATAGTTCTTAGAGTCGTTTGATCTCCGTCACAAGCGCAGCCAATGAACAGATTTCTTCGTTAATCTATCAATAAATTCAGATTAATTTATTCTAATAGAGCTCTGAATACATAATAGCATCAATTAGTCGTTTATTAGTGACTAAACGTTGGCATGCATTGATATTAATGATCGCTTAATCAGTGAAACAATATTCATAAATGTTTGAATCGTTTTTTTTATTCAATTTCACTTGTTTCCATAAGTCATGGTAATCTATTGATTGACTGACGATCAATTTCCTTAGCCAATAGCCATTATGCTGACTGTTTGTGTAAATACTTAATGGTATCATTAATTTTTAATTTGAAATATGAACTTGCTAAATCAGAACTAATTTTATCTTTGATATGTATTTTAAAAAGATTTGGTTTTGTCGATTGAATAGTTTCATCTTTTTCATCATCGAATGTATTATCATCATCTTGAGAATGAATGTAAATGTCGGGATATTGCTGTGGATCTTCTCTCTATCCATTCACACTTCACACTAACAGTCACACCCGGACTCACACCTATATTCATTTAATTTCAAACAATTATCATATTTGGAATCAGCATAAAAAATGAGTTAACCTGTATGTGTCTCAAATTGTTTTTGCATCTATCTTTTCTCATAAAATCTTGACCTCTGAAGCTTCTTAAGAACGTGTGAAAAAATGAGTTTAATCAAAATAACTATTTTAATGTTTAGTGACTTGCCTTTTTGCCGTCAAATTACATTTTACAAGTCGAGAGCTGACTTTACACGGTTGCAATGACTTTTCACATATTCCTGAAAGGGTCCAAGAGTGATAATGTGATCAGAAAAAAAATGTTTGAAACAGACAGAAGTCAACTAAGTTTTTTGTGCAGATGCCAAATATAATATTTGTTTGAAGTGAATTTGATATTATTCTGCTTCAAAAACATCAAGTGTTAGTCGAAAAGACTTAAGATTAGATTTCAATAATAACGGACTTAGGGTCTTTTTTGCTCACTTTTTAAACTGTAAAGAACAGTCCATTTTGTAGTGCTTAAAAAGCTCTATTAGACTCAAAATGAAAGTGATTGAGGATTTGTACGCGGTGTAGTAAATTCAAAACATTATTCTAAATGACCGATTCTATTATGAAAAATTAGTCTAAACAAATTTCTATCAGAATAACTTTGGATAACTCTTCATCTTCATTTGTTTTCTCTAAAATAAATGCTTACACTACTGGCTAGTATCAATAACTAACTGCCCGTTTATTATGTCATAAAGATAGGGTCTGTTTATACCTATAATTTAATTGAAATTCCTGAAGTTTAGAATCAAAATGATCAGAAGCTAATAATCTTTCATTCTATATATATATATGGTTCGGTTATATAGGACCTTGAAAATCAACAGAAGTCCACATGCATCCTTGTGTGCTCCTGTCTTTGTCTCGACAAGATTAAAATCATGAACTTCTGAATGAAGGCGTCATGAAAAATTTTATTAGAAATGTTCTTTTAATTGTTTACATGCGGTAAGAAATTGTTTTGAAATAGCAATATATCTAAAGACGTCAAGATTTTATAGTATCCTCTCGGATTCTAAAATGTCGCTATTTATTCCAAAGACTATGTGCATTGTGTACATGCAAATGAACTATGAATATCCTGAAAAGAGTTCGTGACTTTAGCTTATTACTAAGGAGATGCGGCATTTTTACGATATTTAAAAAAAGGTCGTGATCTTCTCAAAACCACAAGAAAAGCGAATTTTCAAATTTCGACTTTAAACTCTGCAGAGATGCAGGTCTTAAAGACAATAGTGTTTTCTTGTTGTCATTCCTATCCTAAGATACAGCTATAATAATAACTTGTCTTTTACATCACTCATATAAACCAGTAGATTTGATGCTCTTAGTTGAGAATAGAAGAAAATCAGAAGACCAAAAATTTTCACAATAAATTGATCTCATTAAGATTTACCTTCATGAAAAGTTTCAAGTTTAAATTTGAAAACTAATTCTTCTGCTGTTTCTGAAGGGAACCATAGGATTTATTTAAAAGATATCGTAAAAGTGCAATATCTGCGCTGCAATAAGCTAATAACATGAACTCTTTTCAGGATATTCATAACTCATTTCAGCCTACATAATGTACATAGTCTTTATTAAAAAGCAACTGAGCAATTGGAGGAATTTCGTCATCAGATTCGCGAGACATATATGTAGATGAATGAGGAAATGAAAATAAAATTTGATTGCATGATTCTTCGAAAAAACTATTATAAATCATTTAATATTTGTTGACAATCTAAAAGATTCTGTTTCTCAATAACCAAATATTGTTGATATTTTTCTTAAAAAAAGAGTTTGACCAAATGTGTCTTTTCCAATATCTAAAGCAAGAACGAATTTCAATGATCAGAAATTTAAAAATGAAATTTTTTTATGTTAGCGTACCAAACGTTGTTTAAACGTATTTAGTAGTCGATCCCATGTTGATCTATATATTTTCATCTAGCTATGTTCATAGTCAGAATACAATAAGATATTCTCAATTAGATTTGCTAGACTTTTCAAATTGTTAACATTTCCTAAATAGATCCAAATTGAACATCGAATCCTCTCATGTGACTATTTTTTTTTCAGCAAGCCATAAGTATTTGATGGTTTGAAAATAGCACTAATAACTACGAAATTATTCATTAGTGAGAACACTGATACTTTGAAGATAATGAAATCCTTTATCTGAGATTTATTTTATATCGATAATATATGTTCGTAATTGTATCCAAGTTTGTGCATACATGACGAAATGAAAGAAAAATTGTTAATTTACCCAAAAGATTAAAGATGTTCTACATAAAATTAAATAGATAATGCAAGAATATTATTCGTGAACATTGCTGTTTGAACTTTATAATGATATATTTTTCTCAAAGTAATCATTCTTCTATAATTGATTAGTAGGAATTGTAATTTACCAATATGCATTTTGATTGCTATTATGCTAGGAAGCCTATTATGCCTTATGTGTCACATGTTTGTATAGATAACAACAAAAGTATGTTGTTCATGATGCAAAAGAAAACTGAAACGTCCTTTATCGTTTGTCATGACTTTCATTGTTTTCTGAGTTATTCAGGTGAAATATTTATATTTACAAAAAAAAAAGGTTTGACGTATGCTAATTATCTAAACTATCAAATTAAATTTTTTTTGAGCGAAAATTATTACAAATAACAAATTATGTATGAATGTTCGTCAAATACCTTAAAAACAACAATTGAAAGACAAGAATAAGATTAAAAAACTTTTAGATCTATCCTTTTCAAAATACAAATTCATCATGACATATGACGTGTAAGATCATCGAGTATTGCATAGCGAAAATAAGATTATCAAAAAATTAATTTTTTTGTAATAACTGCCATCTTTTCTTTCAATTGATCATGTATTTAGAAATAAATTTTAAAACCATTTTATATGTTGTATAATGTTGACTTTCACGCTACAGTAAATGACCATGAAAATAACTGCTTTATCATCAATCTATGCGTGAATAATCCTGTATGATTAGTTCTGTGTTCGACACAATAGAAAGAAAATATCTATGTCCAATAGGAATATTTTTATTTATGGTAAAATGATACGATGTGAAAGAGTATGACAAAAAAGAATCGACTTCGATTTGACTTATCCGTATAATATTTGGATAATTTATTTTTGCTTTTCATTGGTTGAGAAATAATTGTAATATACACTTTATAAATATAATTATTATTAGTCTTGATCATATACAACATATGAATATTATATTCGCTGATTCATATGAATCGACAGAAACAAAAAAGAAAAATTTGATTCTCGTATGTCATGCACAATTAGGTGAATGTGATGTTTAACGGAGTCGATAAATCAGTGGATTCACTTTCTTTTTTCACACATTGTATATGCGATTATGACGTTTTATATTTCTAACGTATACACATTTTTTTCTCGGTACACTGCTACACTTGAATGAGCACTATTATCAGTTAAAAAAAAAAAGAACAAATTTTTTTTGCTATCAGTTTTTTTCTTTCTCCTCAATTACTCAATATATTCACCAATTGGCGAATGATTGTCCTCTAGGCATATCTTTTACTTATTCACTACCTATCAAGTATTATTAACTCTTCATTGATACATAGAAATGGGTGTTGTTGGCTCATTACCTGCTCCTTCTTCACCATCTACATCAAATAATACAACTGAAATGTCACATGAAGAATCTGTAGATGAATGTAGTTACTCTGTTATGACCGTTCATGAACAAGATGGACATAAAAACTTGCCACCAAAAGTACATGTTAGTGATGATGATAATGATGATGATGATGATAATAAATCTGACTGTGATAACTGTTTTATAGCGAAACCTGCTGTAGTTCTAAAATATGGTCCTATAAAAGTAACTGTTCGTCCATCTGCCGCACCAACATTAGCAACTGGACGTCGTTCAAAATTTGTTAAACTTGAAGGTGATGCAGCTATAAAACGTGAATTAAGACGTAAAAGAAATCGTGAAGCAGCAAAAAAATTAAAAGCAAAACGAGAATTTATCGAGCGACAATTAGAAAAAGAAATTAGTGAATTAGAATGCAAAGAACAAGATTTATTATTGACAGTTAAAAATCTTGAATTATATAAAGAACAACTTGAAGCACAATATCGACAAATTATTTCCCTTCAAGCACAACTTAGTCAAAGAGCCATGTCAGCATTAAAACACGTTGAACGTAATCGACAACTATATCAAAGTATGCCTATTCATCATAATGATGCACATTTAAAACAAGAACCACGTCCTTCGTCACCACAATGGCAATTACTTTTTAGTATATAAACATATAGTTATTTTTACTGGTTGAAGTTTGAAGCATTTTGCTATAAAAAACAAACAATAATTGTGCATTTTATTATTTTTTTTTGTAATTATTTGTTTGATATCTTGAAAATATAAGGTAGAGAAACTAGATGTTATAATCATAAAGGTATATAGATTTTATGTTTAAAATCACTTTATTATTAACATACTTCTTGCTGTGAATATCAAGAAAATTATAATGTATAAAGTTTTTTTGATTAGTTCATTGTTTAACAATTTACAGATAAAGAAAGAAAATGAAATATTAGGCTCTTTATCCTTCCCCCTCGTTTTAAAAGGCTAATTTTCGACAAAAATATGAATATTGAGATAAATGCATGGGAAGATAGCATGAGGTCTACTCTTTCATAAATGACGCAGTTTTTTATTTGATACCTCGATTTTGTCTAAAAATTTCTGCTATTTTCTACTTGAAAATAATATGAATTTTTCAGACAACATGCAAATTTTTTTCCCTTTTCTTCTGTTTGTGTTTTTTGATCGTACATCTCATGAATTCTCAAAGAAGCATTATGGTAGAAATGTCTAATTTTTCTTTGAAAGAGCATGTCGACATGCAGTGCACGGTACAGTTCGTTTCTATATTAGGCTTTACTATTGTTATATACAAGAGCATATTGATGAAGAGAGCTAGTTTTTTCTAGACGTTTTTGAGACATTGAACTTTTCATGTCTTTTCAGGTTCTGTTATGATCTACATTCTGACATGCTCTATCAAACAAAACAAAACTTACGTATCTAGAATGAAGATCTATAAGACAATTTTGCGTTGCTAATAAGATATTTTTAATCCTTGTTTGTTGAATATCTCGTAAAAGTGTCACGGTATACAGTTCATAATCTTTTCATGTCTTCTCCACTATGGTTCCAATACATCATTAAAGTTTCATCCGATTTGAATTTGAACGATTTTTGAGGAGTGTGTGATCTTAATTTATTTAGAGGGTTAAAAAATCAAAATGATTGTAGTAAAATAATAATATAGACTTTAAAACAGATGATTTCATCAATTTAATTTGATAATATTAATTACAAAACTACTTTCATTGAATTCACTTAATTAAAAAGTTTGTTTTAATCAATGAATTAAATATAGTCAATTTTTATGTCTGTGTTATTAACCCAAATGCCGTTTTTTATCGTACTTTTGATATAAAATTTATAAAAGATATCTCAGTGAAAAATTTTCGCGATTTTCAATCTGATTTTTTTGCAACAAAATCAAAATTAAAATCGATTGATAATTTTGATTATTGTTGATCATGACTTAACTATTATTTGATATTGTTGCTTATCCAGTGTAAAATTTTCTGATTAAGATCGGATTATTTTGCAGCACAATCGAAATTATTAATCGATTTATAATCTTGTTTTTGCTACAGAATAATCCGATTTTAATCGGAAAATTTTACACTGGATAAGCAACAATATCAAATAATAGTTAGATCATGATCAACAATAATCAAAATTATCAATCGATTTTAATTTTGATTTTGTTGTACAAAAATCCGATTGAAAATCGTGAAAATTTTTCACTGGGTATGAACTTTTATTTTTCGAAATTCAACTTTCAAAGTCGAAAATTATCGAATCCAACAACATTATAAAATTTATCAAATACAATTAGAGAAGTTGGTGCTTATCTACGAGCTAAAAAGATTTTTTTAATATTTACTAACTGTACCAATATCAATAGCTTCAAATGAACATTCATTGAGTAAATTAAAAATTATCAAAAGTTATTTTAGAACAACTATGACTAATGAACGATTGTTTTACTTGATGTTATATGCTATCAAAAAAGATCATCTGCATCAACCCAATTTGACAAAAAAATGGATGAAGATGAAAGATAGATGTATTGAGCTTCCATAAAAGATTTGTTTGAAACAGAGCCTAGTTTTTTTGTCTTTTTTTGTGTTGTCTTTTATCATGTGTAAATCTAGCTAATAATCATGTTTTTTTTTTTTTGAGGTTTTTCCTCAGAGCTGTTCGTAAATAAACAGTATCTAACTTGATGCTATGAATGTTGTGTTGTTGTTTGGCACTTTTTCGCAGTGCTCACCCCTATTACAACTCTTACGACACTTCCCTTTCTCTCCCCCCCCCCCAATCGTAGACCCTTCGCGCGGCCACTGCTTTTAGCAGTATTTCAAAGTATCATCAACAAAAATGTTATTAGTAGTGCGACAACTGAGAATTGTGTGAACTTGCGCTTTGTATAGGCTAGTAGAGTCAACAGTAATTATATGCACTTAGCCGAACAAAAAAAAGGTAAACCAGCACCCTCTTTTGAAATGTGAGTTTCCACACATACTACTGGTTAGTCACGCTAGCCAACTCTCAGAAAATTTTTACTTTCGTTTATTTATTGTTCTTTTCGATATTTCATTGCTATGAACTTCTGTTTTAGTTTGTACATTTCTTTATTTTGTTCTATCTTTATCATTCTTTTCATGTGTTTTATTTATAGAAAAAAGTTGAGTTAATTCATTTATTTTATGCAATTATGTAAGTTTTATTTTAAAACCTGGATGTTGCTCTTCCTTTTTCGTTAGAAATAATCCTGTTTTAAATCATCCATTTCCTTATTTATTCATCTTATTCTAAGTGATTATCAATATTGATTTTTTTTCTTTATTTACTATCCGATGAGAAATTTTAGCGATCAAAATCGATCAAAATATCAAAATCCTATGGGCACAATCGAAATTGATAATCCAATTATTCTGAAACAAAATCAAAATTATAATGGAGTATAATTCAGGAGAAAAATTTTAATTCCTAGAATTCTAATCGATTAAGAAATTCGATTCTAGTCGATTATAATTTGGATTTTGATTCACAATAATCATGAGGAATATCCTCAAATAATTGATTTGAGCCCAATTTTGATTGTTTTTTATACTGTGATATTAGCTTGTAAACAAAAAGATGAAACAAAACTAAATAGAGACCTTCCGATGTAAAAAAAAATCAAACTTTTTCCGTTTTTTTTTTACATGGAAATCATCTGCTCGAATTCTATGCAACTCTTATTTTCTGTTAATCAATTTTAATCTGTTAGTACTTCTTAATTGATTTGAATCACTTACACTGAAGAGCAGCGCTTTCTTCGAGATTCAAACGTGATATCCCAAATTTCCATGATTATCTTGAATTTCTCTTGTTTAGGAACTGTGAAGTTACCACCAAGCTGAAGTCTAGCCAATACAGTGAAGTTGGAACTACTATTTAAACTATTTCCAATTGAAGTTATACAATTACATCAGAAATCGATGAATCTTGTTAAATATAGTTAGATTCCGTAATAGACTGAAAATAAGACTAGAATAATTATTCACTATTGAAATCATTTATAGTCCACTTTCATGCTTGCGCTATAAGGCATATCAAAAACTGATATGAGCATTTGATTTGTTGCCTAAGTACAAGTTTTTTCGGGATCTGCATCCTACTCGCCCGGCTCTGAAAACTTCTTGTTCATCGGATTCAGGTCTGGGATGGTGTAAGGATGGGTAAAGGTCTTCTGTACCTCACTCACACGTATCCTTCCTGTTTGTCTGCATAATTTGCTTTTATACACACCCTACCGATATTTGCCAACTCCTCTATAATTGATTGACGAGATAAAAATCGATTTTTGATGAAAATTCCATTATAAGTGGAATAATCAATAATAACCGGTGTAATAGATCTTTTTCAGTCGGTTTAGGAATTCTAATCGATTTCAATCGGATTATATTGCAAAGAGTGGCACTTTCGTATAAAAAAATGAGATTTGTTGACTAGTAACCAAAAATAAGCGTGATTTTCTTAGGCATACTTTTCACGGGGTATTCATTAAAATATATAAAAAGAAATAAATTTGTTTTTACTGACCAAACTACATTTGAAAATATTTGGTTCTCACAAATATAAATTTAGGTTTTTCTTCTGAAACTTTTTTCAGCGAAAGTTCATTTTTAATTTTTAGTTCATTTATTTCTAGAAGATATCGGTCTTTAATCAGCTGAAATATCTAGGGAAGGTACATACTAGGTGTTTCCTCATTAGTGTAGATCATCCAATCAGAAATGACTAAGAAAGATGAAGTGTCTATATTAGGTGTGTCTTTCACCTATCGAACGTTAATCGAAATGTCTGGCTTTTGTGGACGAATCGCCTTGTTTATAAATATATATATATATATATATATAATGTCTTGTTTTTTCACAGTGAAACATTTTTTTTTGTATGATCTGTGAATCATTGGTATATTGTAGATAGAAGATGGCCAGTACAAGTCAAATACAAGCTGAGGCGACAGGAGCAGATAATGAAATTCGAATGATTTTACTCGGTAGAACTGGCACAGGTGAACACGACGCATTGAAATCATCCAAAATACTTTGATTTATTCATTTTTTTAAGGCAAAAGTTCAGTCGGTAACACCATTCTTGGCGGAAAGTTTTTTCAGGCAAAAAAGGCTCCAATTGGTGTCACAACGCAATGCGGTTCTGGTGCTCGAAACTTTGAAAATAAAAGGTTATTTATTGTTGATACACCCGGGTTTCTCGATCCTAATGTAGCAGACGCGGTAATTCAGCACGAAGTTGGTAAATCGTATCAATTAACAGCGTTTCCTGGACCACATGTTTTCTTACTTGTACTTGAACCAACCAGAATGTTGCCTCAAGAAGCTGTAGCAGTCGAGTATCTTAGCAAAATCTTTGGTCCAAGTGCGATTAACCATACGATCATTATTTTCACTGGAGGCGATCAATTTGAGGATGAAGAAACTACATTAGATAACTATCTATCACAGTTACCAAAAGATGCTCCGCTGAAGAAACTTCTGCAACAATGCAGTCAACGCTATTTGTGCTTTAATAATAAGGGAACGGAGCAGCAGAAAAGTGAGGCTGTCAGAAATTTACTTGAACGAATCGCAGATATGATGTCGAAAAACCACGGCAAAGAATATACGACAGATATATTTGCAGCTCTTGCCAAAGAGATTGCGAAAGAAAAGGCCAAAGGAACCTTCCATCCAGTGAAACCCGATGGATCCTATGCTTTACTTCCACAAACAAAGGAAATTGTTATCGATGGTTATCTGCGTCGAACTGTCGGCAGAAGAGCCAATTGATAAATTGAAATATTTCATTTTTTAATTGTCGCATTTCAATGAATAAATGCGAAGAGAAAAATATGACATCGATTTGATTGAAAGATCAAGTTGTGACAGTTGTCTACTTTTTTCCTTGACTTTGTTGTTGATGTAAGAAATTCATATTTATCAAGTCTTTCTTTTTAATTAGAATAACTACTGGACAATCATGATTTTTGTTGTTTGCAGATATGCGAGAGATCACATCAGGATGACTCGAATTTATCAAAAACACCGGAAAAATAACTCGTTCAAAGCAATCAATATTATCATGTCGATGCGTCAGTGCACGATGATCATTCATTGTTGAACTTGATTCATCGATGCGATCTGAATGTAATGAACTATTCGATGAATTACTGAATGAAGGTTTTCTGCTGCCAATGATACAAGTCGGGTCTATCGACTACGGGAAATTGTCGAATCTGATCATATCCACCACCGAAAGTCATTGGACATCATCAAATTAGGGGTGAGAAGTTATTGTTATTTTCAAAATAACTCTCTCTAGCATTTCTTATAAACTTTATATAATTGATATTTAACTGTCTCCTACTGCTCAGAATTTTGCCCTCTTTCTGTTGGTATATAATATATTTCATTACATTCACAAGTCCTAAAATGCTAGCCAGAGTTATTTTTAAAATAACAATAACTTCACACCCTTACATCAAATTTCGATCGGATATACAGAGGTTTCACTGATTTCTGACATCGACCTTCTGTCTTAAGCGTTCAATTTCTCAGGAAAGCTCAGATGTTATCTGATCCTCATGATTTTGACAAAGCTCTGTTGCAATTTGTCGGATTCCGATGAAATGAAAAGCAGTCCGATCAGAATCCGACGACAGGATTATTTATCCTGGAACCTCACAGTTGTCAGTAAAATTCCGCTGGAACTTTTTGGATTATCACTGCACGATGGCACTGATCACTACGAAAGAACCGATCTACTCATGTCATCGGTGTCACAATAATGCTTATCAGAAAGACGAATACGTCTTATGACGTCGTCGATGAAGTCATCATAGTGATCTAAAAGACAGCAAACTAGTAACAAGATATGTTGTTAACGGTACTGTGATTTTTATCTAAAAGACCGAGTTCCAATGGATGAGAATGATAGTAACTCTTTTCTTGATATATATATATTATAATTCAAGATCTCACAGCTTGAAATGAGCTAGTTAAAATTATTGAGCACGTGTGGACGTGTGAAATACTTTAATCTTACTCTCTTCACGTCAGAGTATGTGTAAAGAAAAATCATCACCTATCTCACAACCACATCTACATGCACACCCACATCAAATCGATCGTTATGCGAAGACACCTGCGAGCGGCAGTTTAAACGTACGGAACGACAGGAATACGATGGATTAACAAGACGAATGGGAAGAATTCGATGATCCGAATAACCAAAGCACTCATATGAAATTATCTGTCACTGCACTGACTCTCTGGGATAGCAACCAGGACGATGATGACTATAACGGTGACGCAAACACGAGAATGCCCGACGATACAACTGATATGTGCAATCACGATTCGGCAGTGATGACTCAGATTCATCAATGTCGCAATCAACAACAGCAACATTAGGAAAAGGTAAAGCCTACTTGGAAAGCCTACCGACTCAATCAACAAGAGCTAAAAGAAGCAGCGTCACCAGTCAAGATCCATGTCGAGACGTTGGCTTCTGTTGAAACGCTGCCTGCATGCGAAGCATTACAAAGACAATTTTTGGTGGCTTTCAAGCTGGCGGCTGACGTGTAACAAAGGACTTCCAACGCTCGAATCGACTGTCAACAAAAAGGAACCCCTTCAAATAGTCTCACTGCTTTTTGTCCTGTACATCAGTATTTATTTATTCAAGCTATTGCTCTTTCTTGATTGTTCTCCACCTGTGCTCGTCATTAATGTTACTCTCCTGTCGATTATTTTAGTTTTATTTTGTTTATTACTCTCACTCTCTCTCTCTCTCTACCTCTCTTAATATCTTTGCGCATTCATTTTCATTTGCACTTTTGTTTTGTCCTTCGGTTAAGTCCTCATGCTTTAATCGTTTCGTTGCAGTCTATTTGAAAATGCATGGATATGTATCGACTTTTTTACTGTGGCGCACTAGGAGCGGATGTCTTCTTTTGAGCAGCCATCATTTCTTTCAAAAGACGATCGCGGATGATGTTCGCTTCGGTCCATCGGCCGAGCCAATCCTTTTTGCGACGAAACGAATGGGGATGTCGTTGTTGCTCCAAAGCGACCATTTCGAAATGCTGTTTGAATATTTGAGCATTGTGCACGATTTTCGTATGGCTACCGCGCAACACCGGATACCCGGGACAAATGCTGCTACGTAGATGACTGCTGATAGTTAGATAGTCGGAATTCTGATTCGCAGTCGTGGCAACGCTTGTATTCGACTGTGGACGAGTTCTGGGCACAAACTTGATGTCGACATAGCGTGGTTTATTCTTGTCTCGATCTATGCTCGACGAATTCGATTGATGCCGAAGATTTTCTTGCAGCTGAGATTCGTTCACATTGGTGTGGTGGATGCAATCGTCTTTGATTGAATTTTTCTCCGAAGCCATTCGATGACTGGTGATTGTCAAGAAAGAAAATGAGAAAATGCCAAGCACAATGCTGGTGGTTGTAATGTAACTCAGCCATTGTTCACGTTATTGACGTTGACAATACACTTGACTCTTCAAGTTTGTTGTAACGATAGAGGGTGTTGATGGTGTGTCCTGTGTATTATTTCACTTTTCAAGTTAATCAAATGGCTATTTGCTTCTTAAATCTTGATTTTCATTCAAGGATGAGTTGTAATTGATGTGCATTAACGAATGACCTTCTTAGTGTCAGTTAATTTTTATCAATTCTATTGACTTGATGACTATTGATGTGTAAATTTGAATCTGCTGGAGTAACTTGACGAATCAGAATGATACAATGTAAAAACATCTCGACAAATAAAACATCGATCCATTGTAGTTTTGTCAACAAGTTATCAGTAGAGAAAGGAAGATAAACATCGATAAGCAAGGTGTTGTCGTCGTCAGACTAAGTCATACAACAAAAGACTTCGACCAAAACATCCTCGAATATCACTATGCGGCTTCTTCTCTTCGTACTACTATGCTTCTTAGAAAGTACGTAATTGATCGAATAAGTACTTTCTAAGAACGCATTTTTGCATCAGAGCAAAGAAATTTGATAGAAGAAATTCGTAGCGTAGACGAAGGAGCAGCCGCTATAAAAAAAAACGAGGCGAACTCATTGATAATAGCTAAGATCAGTAGCAAGGTACATGAGCAATAGATGATTTAATGAACGTCAAATAGTTTTGACAAAAAACCTACATGTAGAAATCGAAATGAACAGTCGAAATCCAGCATTGAAATTTCCCTTTAGGCATCATCTATTGCGATAATCGAAATCAAGACAATCTATTTATTCTTTCTTCACCGTCTTTGATGATCAGTAGTACATCACCAAGATCGACCACAACTCGACGTCGCAGTACTATTGGCCCTGTGCATCCCGATACACTCAGTGTAGGTGCCATTGTTGGCATCACCATTGTGGTTGTTATACTCATTGGTTGTTTTGTCATCGGTGCAAATTACATGCGTCGCCGTCGACTCGCGAACTACTTTTACACCAACCAATATCAAGCGATCTAAATATTTGTCGATCGATCTAAGACTGCACGTACTTTTCTTGTTTCAATAATTTTATTTTTGGCTCTAAAATTCTTTTCTTTGACACTGTTACTTGAGTGTGGAAGTGGGTGAGTGTTGATCGTTTAGAAACACACACCCACAAATCTACTGGTCAAATCCTGATCTATGACGAAAACTCCTGATTTCTAAAATTTGGATTTAGAAACCCTGGATGCTAATGAAGTCCAATCAATACCTCATTAGGCAAGAGCTGATAGTAGAAAAAATATGGACTGATTTTGTAAAGATTGTGACAATTTCAGATAGAAGAATCGCTAACGCTGATACAGTTACGCTTTATTTAGCTTCTTCGTATCACTAATCGTATCATTTACATGCCAAGCACACACTTATATACACAACCAGAAGAGAGAGAAAGCGAGCATCAAAGGAGAGGAGAATAAATCAAGGAAATGACAGTAAGGTAAGAATAGAAAGTAAAGACATATCCATTTAGATGAGAACAAATGATAAAGGAAGGCTAAACATTACGTCTCCCGTGAAGCTGGAACGTGCAACCTCTGCGTAGTATGGGAGAGAAACTTAGGGAATACCCCCTAAGGCCAATGCACATACACAGAAACTGCTGGGCAGTAGCAATAGTGGATTATACCGACATATTCGGACTGCGCTGGAGAAGGAAATGGTAAACCACTCCAGTACTTTTACCAAGAACATTCAATGAACAGACAATCAATGACGTTTCAAGATATGGTGCTGGAGGACGAGACCCCCAGGTCAGAAAGCACCCAACAAACGACTGGGGAAGAACTAAGGACAAGTACAAGTAGTACTCTAAATAATGACGCGATTGGAGCAAAGCCGAAAGGATGTCCAATCGCTGAGAAGTACAGATACGAACGGAACGACCAAAGCTTTTTGAAAACACACAAAATCGCCACATGGAACGTAAGAAGGATGAACCAAGGCAAACTTAAAATAGTCAAACTGGAGATGGACCGAATGAAAATAGACATCCTTGGAATAAGCGAATTGAAATGGACAGGAACCGGCCATTTTACAGCCGGAAACTACGAAGTTTATTACTTTGGTAATGAAGACATCAGAAGAATTGGAGTAGCCATGATTTTGGGCAAGAAGATCGTCAAATCGGTGACCGACTATTATCCCAAAAATGACAGAATGATCTCTATTCGAGTCCAAGGAAGACCGACGAAGCTGACGATAATACAGATTTATGCACCAACCGCGGAAGCAGAAGAATCAATCATTATGAAATTCTGCATGGAC